ATATTTTAAAAAAACATACGCACTGGAGAAGGAATATATCTTTCGAAGTATAAAGGAGAAGGAGTTATTTTTGGAACAAATTAAAATAATAAAAAATGGGTAAAAAATTTAATCATTCAGAAATATTTCCTAATAACCCAATGCTCATGTGTATATGCGGTAGTTCCGGTTCTGGGAAAACTCATCTCATTTTTAACATGTTGACAACACCAAACCTTTAAGATTTCGATTCTTTGTATATCTACACAACAACACCAGAGCAATCGTATTATCAATTTCTCAAAGCTTTAGAATATCTACCAAAGAGAGATGTTCAAGACCTATTTCAATATTACAAAGAAAACGAAAAAAAAGTGGAATTGAAAGATTTCATAGATAACTACATCGAAGGAAAGAAACCAACGGATATAAAAGTTTTTCTTACGAAAAATGTTAATGATCTAGATTTGTCTCAAATTGATAGCGAGCGAAAGAACTTAATGTTGTTTGACGACTGCGTGGCGCAAAGAAATCAAGCCGTTCAACAAGAATTCTTCACGAAAGGAAGACATCACAACTGTCACTGCATATACCAATCCCAATCTTTTTACGGGATGGATTCTATGTTCATTAGAAAAAATTCAAATTGTTTTTTATTATTTGAATTAAACGACAAAGACTTATCTCAAATCGCTCAATCGATAAATCACGGAATGGACAGAGATGCATTTAAAAAGGTTTGTAAAGCTCAATGGAGATATCCAGATGATCATGGATATGTATTTGTAAATACTAGAAAACCTGCGGGTGAAAGAGTTATGAACGATATATGTTAATTTTATTTTTTTAAAAATGGATTGGAATAATATTTTAAAAAGAAACAAAGAATATATCAAAGCTAAGAATAAAATAAAAACCCAAGTTGAAAATAACAGATTACAACAACTCGGATTAACGGAAAATCTACAGACTCTATTTCAACCCATATTAAAATCTCAAGAGGATATTAAAAAGAGACTCATCCCTCCTATAGAACCCATAGCTCCTATAGAACCTCATCAAATAGAATATCCCATTAAAGATGATGAAATCATAATTAGGACATTAGATGATATAAATCGTCTTTTCTCAAACCCTA